GTCATGCCACATAAAGCATAAGAAAAAATTGAACTCAAAACCTCCCATACCAAGTGGGTTACTTTCTTTCTTATGCTAACTACGAAATTGAGAATTTACCAGCTTTTATTTTCCCATATCAAAAACAAGGTTTCAACTTTTAATTAGGACACGAAGATGTAGACTTCATTGCACCTAACAAAGTTGCTTTTGAATGATTGATGAAGTAAGTTAGGATCCTGGATTAACTGCCTTGATTTATGAATTATCTTGTGCCTGTCTCTTTGAAACTAACTATCAAAGTTTCTTATCATAATTATAAATATGCATGATAGATTATAAATGAACTTCAAGGTGGGATTCTGGTTGGTTGCACTAAAGCATGCATCATTCTTCTCTGGTATTCATATACACTCTTAGTAGTTTAATTAGGTTGTTTGCTTTCCTTCTTCTCTTGAACAATAAAATATAATGGGGTAACGAATAATTAAATGGCATTTGGAAGCTTAAATTTTGAAAATGTTAAATGAAAGAAGGGGGCATTCCGAGAATCGAACTCGGGACCTCTCGCACCCAAAGCGAGAATCATACCACTAGACCAAATGCCCTGGTTGAATATATTACATTCATTAAATCGAATTTATTGTAAGTTATATTGCATCTTCTTGATGATGGAGCCACAATTAGTCAATGTGTAGTTGGTGAAGTTTTTTCAATTGTGGTTGGTAAGCTTATTGATAGATTACCAGAAGTTTTTGGTTGAATGAAAATTATGAATGGAAAGTCAACAATCTCATGCCACATAAAAAAGCATAAGAAAAAATTCAAATGAGTTAATTTTTTCTTATGCTAACTACGAAATTGAGAATGTACCACCAAAACAACTGCTTTTCTTTTTAGATATCAAAATCCAGGTTTCAATTTTCAATTAGGACATGAAGATGTAGACTTCATTGCACTTAGCAAAGTTGTTTTTGAATGATTGATGAACTAAGTTAGGTTTGTTGATTAGCTGCCTTGGTTTATGAATTGTCTTGTGCTTGTCTTTTTGAAACTAATGATCAAAGTTTCTTATCATAAATATGAAATATGCATATGATAGAATGAATATAGATGAAGTTCCAGGTGGGATTGATTGGCTTCATTCAAGCATGCATCATTCATGTCTGGTATGCTTTTACACTCCCTTTTATTTAGGTTGTTTACTTTCCTTCTTCTCTTGAACAATAAATAAAATATAAAGGTGTAACGAATAATTAATTGGCATTTGGAAGTTTAAATTTTGAAAATGGTAAAAGCAAAAAGGGGGCATTCCGAGAATCGAACTCGGGACCTCTTGCATCCAAAGCAAGAATCATACCACTAGACCAAATGCCCTGGTTGAATACATTGCATTCATTAAATTGAATTTATTGTAAGTTGGTACAGTTTATTAATGTGTAGTTGGTGAAGTTGCTTGTTTGTAAGCTAATTGTTTGATCACAAGAAGTTTTTAGTTGAAATGAAAATTATGAATATAAAGTCAAAATATCCTAAACAATTGAACTCATAACATCCCATACAAAATTGATTATTTTTTCTTATGCTTCCTTCAAAATCGAGAATCTACTCCTAGATCAGCTGCCCTATCTTTTCCTACATCAAATATAGGAGTTCAATTTTAATAAGACATATGAAGATGTAGACCTGGTCGTACTTTTAGCAAAGTTCCTCTTGAATGTTTGATGAACTAGATTAGGATCCTTGATTAGCTGGTGGGATAGCGCTCCATTCAAGCATGCACCCTTCATGTTTGATATGCTTATACACTCTTACTCTTTTATTTAGGTTGTTTTCTTACATTCTTCTCTTGAACAATAAAATAGAAACAGCTAAAAATTATTAAATGGCATTTAGAAGCTTAAATTTTGAAAATGGTAAAGGAAGAAAATGGGGGCATTTGGAGAATTGGACTTAGGACCTCTCGCACCCATAGCGATAATCTTACCACTAGACCAGATGTTTTTTAAATATCAATTATCGTAATTAATATTACATCTTCTTAATGTTGGAATCATGCTACAGTTTATTAATGTGTTGTTGGTGAAGTTATTTTTTATGGTGGTTGGTTAGCTTATTGGTGGAATACAAGAAGTTTTTGGGTTAAATGAAAATTAGGAATGTAAAGTCCATACGGCATCCAACAATTGAACTCAGAACCTCCTTACCAAATTGATTGCTTTTTCTCTTACGAAATTGAAAATCTACCTTAGATCAACTGTCTTATATTTTCCAATATCAATACAGGATTTCACGGCTGGGCACATGCCCTCGTCACTATGAATGTTAAATATTTTTATCAGAAATATATAAATATATATTATAGATGTGCTTCCAAGTGGGAACATGGCATGGCTGGCTACTTATTCAAGCATTCATCCTCCATTATTTGGTATGATTTATATTTAAAGATTACTGACATTTTATTTGAATTGCTTATGTGTTTCTCATGATCTATAAAATATATATTCCTTATGAATAATATAATGGATTTGGAAATAGTAAAATGTAAAGGGGGCATTCCGAGAATTGAACTCGGGACCTCTTGCACCCTAAGCAAGAATCATACCACTGGACCAAATGCCCTGATGTTAAAAAATTTTAATGGTAATTGATAAGCTTGTTGGTAGAACACACCAAGTTTTTGGGTTAAGACTAGAACTTGGAAGTTAAGATTTAGAAATGGTAGTGAAAAAATGCTTGGGGCATTCCGAGAATCGAACTCGGGACCTCTCGCACCCGAAGCGAGAATCATACCACTAGACCAAATGCCCTTTATGAGTATGCCAAATTAATTCTTTTTTTATTGTAGTTCGAATAATGTATCCATGGCACCATTGTCGAACTTGTTGTTTTAAAATGAAAATTATGTATAGAAAGTCAACAAGCACACGAGGCATTCTAAGAAATGAACGCAGAACCTCCATTTCCAAATTGTGAGACTGCCACTAGATCAAATGCCTTTTTCCTTTATCATATATCATATTTTAATTGAGACTTATTGAGATTTAGATCTGGTCTTGAGTATACACATCATTGACTTTTTTTTTTTTTTTTTTTTTTTTGTTTTTTGGAGAATTGCACATCAATGATTTATTTCATCAACCATTCCAAATTATCTTGTGCATGTCTAAACATCTTTATCAGAAATATGTAATTACACACGATAGATGTGCTTCCAGGTGAGATTCCAAGCTGATTGCTTATTCAAGCATTCATCCTCAATCATTTGTTCTCTCTATATATAGACTCCTAGTCTTTTTTTTAGGTCTAACTACATTCATATTTTGAAGTATAAAATATTAAGATCTAATAGATCTAATGAATAATGGAACGGAATTTGGAAGTTTAACCTTGAAAATGGTGGGGGGAGGGGGGATTTTGAGAATAGAACTCGGAACATCTCGCACCTAAAGCCATGCCACTAAATCAAATGCCCAGTTTGAATGCAAGAAAATCATCTGATATTTTTCATTGTAATAGATTATAACTTCTTGATGCTGGAACCTTGGTACAATTGACTAATGTGTAGTTGGTGGACCCTTTTCAATGGTGGTTGCTAAACTTATGGGTAGATAACAAGAAGCTTTTGGTTGAAATGGTAATTAAGAATAGATAGTCAACAGCTCATGCCACTTAAGGCATCAAAAAAATTGAACTCAGAACCTCCTATACCAAATTGATTTTTTTTTTCTTTTGCTAAATATGAACTTGAGAATTTACCACCAGATCAACTGCTCCATCGTTTCCTGTATCAAATGCAGGATTTCAATTTTCAAGTAAGACGTATGAAGATGTAGATGTGATCCTCGTGTTGTATGCTTGTCAGTGATTTGGTGTACTTTGCAAAGTTTCTTTTGAATGGTTGATGAAATAGGTTAGGATCCCTGAAATAATTTATGATATTTATGAATCATCTTGTGCTTGTCTCTTTGAAATTAATGACCAAAGTTTCTTCTCAACTTCCAGGTGGGATTCTAGTTGGCTGGGTTCAGGCTCATATCTGGTATGCACATGCACTCTTAGTCTCTTAATTTGGTTGTTTGCTTGTGTTCTTCTCTTAAACAATAAAATACAAAGAGTCGATGAATAATTAAACGAGATCTGGACATTTAAATTTTCAAATTGTAACAGCAAAAAGGGGCATTCCGAGAATCAAACTCGGGACCTCTCGCACCCAAAGCGAGAATCATACCACTAGACCAAATGCCCTAGTTGAGTATAATACATTCATTAAATTAAATTTATGTGTAGTTTGTGAAGTTTCTTTTTCAATTGTTGTTGGGTAGCTTATTTTTGGTTGGAATGAAAATTATGAATAGAAAGTCAACAATGTCATGCCACATAAAGCATAAGAAAAAATTGACCTCAAAACCTCCCATACCAAGTGGGTTACTTTTACGAAATTGAGAATTTACCAGCTTTTCTTTTCCCATATCAAAAAGAAGGTTTCAATTTTTAATTAGGACATGAAGATGTAGACTTCATTGCACCTAACAAAGTTGCTTTTGAATGATTGATGAACTGAGTTAGGATCCTGGATTAACTGCCTTGCTTTATGAATTATCTTGTGCCTGTCTCTTTGAAACTAACGATCTAAGTTTCTTATCATAATTATAAATATGCATGATAGATTATAAATGAACTTCAAGGTGGGATTCTGGTTGGTTGCACTAAAGCATGCATCATTCTTCTCTGGTATTCATATACACTCTTAGTAGTTTAATTAGGTTGTTTGCTTTCCTTCTTCTCTTGAACAATAAAATATAATGGGGTAACGAATAATTAAATGGCATTTGGAAGCTTAAATTTTGAAAATGTTAAATGAAAGAAGGGGGCATTCCGAGAATCGAACTCGGGACCTCTCGCACCCAAAGCGAGAATCATACCACTAGACCAAATGCCCTGGTTGAATATATTACATTCATTAAATCGAATTTATTGTAAGTTATATTGCATCTTCTTGATGATGGAGCCACAATTAGTCAATGTGTAGTTGGTGAAGTTTTTTCAATTGTGGTTGGTAAGCTTATTGATAGATTACCAGAAGTTTTTGGTTGAATGAAAATTATGAATGGAAAGTCAACAATCTCATGCCACATAAAAAAGCATAAGAAAAAATTCAAATGAGTTAATTTTTTCTTATGCTAACTACGAAATTGAGAATGTACCACCAAAACAACTGCTTTTCTTTTTAGATATCAAAATCCAGGTTTCAATTTTCAATTAGGACATGAAGATGTAGACTTCATTGCACTTAGCAAAGTTGTTTTTGAATGATTGATGAACTAAGTTAGGTTTGTTGATTAGCTGCCTTGGTTTATGAATTGTCTTGTGCTTGTCTTTTTGAAACTAATGATCAAAGTTTCTTATCATAAATATGAAATATGCATATGATAGAATGAATATAGATGAAGTTCCAGGTGGGATTGATTGGCTTCATTCAAGCATGCATCATTCATGTCTGGTATGCTTTTACACTCCCTTTTATTTAGGTTGTTTACTTTCCTTCTTCTCTTGAACAATAAATAAAATATAAAGGTGTAACGAATAATTAATTGGCATTTGGAAGTTTAAATTTTGAAAATGGTAAAAGCAAAAAGGGGGCATTCCGAGAATCGAACTCGGGACCTCTCGCACCCAAAGCGAGAATCATACCACTAGACCAAATGCCCTGGTTGAATATATTTTATTCATTAAATCGAATTTATTGCATGTTATACTGCATCTTCTTGATGTTGGATTCATGGTACAATTTATTAATGTGTGACTGGTGAAGTTGCTTGTTTGTACGCTAATTGTTTGATTACAAGAAGTTTTAAGTTGAAATGAAAATTATGAATAGAAAGTCGAAATATCCTAAACAATTGAACTCAGAACATCCCATACAAAATTGATTCTTTTTTCTTACGCTGCCTTCAAAATCGAGAATCTACCCCTAGATCAGCTGCCCTATCTTTTCCTATATCAAATACAGGAGTTCAATTTTAGTAAGACATATGAAGATGTAGACCTGGTCGTACTTTTATCTAAGTTGCTCTTGAATGTTTGATGAACTAGGTTAGGATCCTTGATTATAACTGGTGGATTCTGATTGGCTGGCGTTCAATCAGGGACCCTTCATGTCTGGTATGCACATACACTCCTACTCTTTTATTTAGGTTGTTTTCTTACATTCTTCTTTTAGCAATATTTGAGCAATAAAATAGAAAGAGCTAACAAATAATTAAATGGCATTTGGAAGCTTAAATTTTGAAAATGGTACAAGAAAATGGGTTGGTCTGGAAATTGGACTCAAGACCTCTGGCAAAGCAAGAATCTTACCACTAGGCCAAATGTTTTTTAAATTTCAATTATCGTAATTAATATTACGTCTTCTTAATGTTGGAATCATGCTACAGTTTAGTTTATTAATGTGTTGTTGATGAAGTTATTTTTTAATGGTGGTTGGTAAGCTTATTGGTAAAATACAATAAATTTTTGGGTTAAATGATAATTATGAATAGAAAGTCCATACGGCATCCAAAACAATGGAACTCAGGACCTCGCTTACCAAATTGATTGTTGTTTTCTTACGAAATTGAAAATCTACCTTAGATCAACTGTCTTATATTTTCTAATATCAAATGCAGGATTTCATGGCTGGGCACATGCCCTTGTCGCTATGAAATGTTAAGTATTTTTGTCAGAGATATATAAATATATATATTATAGATGTGGTTCCAAGTGGGAATAAGAACATGGCATGGCTGGCTAGTGTTCAAGCATTCATCCTCCATTATTCAGTATGATTTATATCTAAAGATTACTGACATTTTACTTAATGTGTTTCTCGTGATCTATAAAATATATGTACCTTATGAATAATACAATGGAATTGGAAATAGAAAAATGTAATGGGGGCATTCCGAGAATTGAACTCGGGACCTCTCGCACCCTAAGCGAGAATCATACCACTAGACCAAATGCCCTATTGTCTATTTTAGTTTCCTCAAGTTTGTTTAATTGTAATTATAGTAATGTCTTGATGATGTTGGATGTGTAGTACAATTGACCGATGCGTGGTTGGAGGAGCTGTTTTTTAAAATGGAGGTTGGTAAGCTTAAAGGTAAAAGAATAGTTGGCCTGTTGCGTTTATTTCTAATTTTCTAATTTTAACTTAAAAGTAATAAATTTTTATTTGCTTTATTTTTCTTTTTCAATCTCTTCCTCTCTTTCTATCTTGTTCACCATCAATTGAAGTTGCCATCGTTTATACCGTAACTGTAATTTTTTTTTTTTTCCATTCCTTTTCCTTAAAAAGCTGAAATGATGGTGTATGATTGAATTCTACTAGAAAAGAGGTAGATAATGTATGATTCAATTGACTTCAGAACCTGAAATATTATTGAAATTAAGAAATTAAAGAAAAAAATTGGGGCATTCCGAGAATCGAACTCGGGACCTCTCGCACCCAAAGCGAGAATCATACCACTAGACCAAATGCCCTTGATATAAACAACCATAACAATTATTATATTTCTCAGTGAAGTATAAATCTTATTATCCTGTCACGTTCCAACTCCACTGACAAATCTTTCCTGTAACTAGACTGACCAGCACATGCTATCATGAACTTAAGGTCAAGATGCTAGCTGGCAGTTGCTTATTTTATACCAATTCTTCTAATTATGGCACTTTATTGCTATTTTTAACCACTAAAATAGGTTTCTTCAGTTTAGGGATAAGAAGCCTAAAAAAAATTCATAAAATTCATTATGTCATTAAGGAATACGAATAAATTCATTATGTCATTAAGGACTACAAATGGAGACTTTGGACGCTTAAGTTGAAAAGGTGTGACGTATTTAAGATTTCAAAGTATTCTAACATTTCACATATGCAAACATACATCAAAGATTAACCCATATAATTATTCATCTTATCACGTCAAAAGTTCAAAATGTTGACTAGACTTATAGATCAGGTAAAATGGTATTCGACAAACATCATTTTGTTTGAACTTTGAACTATAACGGGCATATCAAGAGAATAAATTTTAGTTCTTGTCGGGCGTTATCCTACACTATAAGGTGTGAGAATAAAATTTTGGTCTTTTTTTGTTTAAATCCCATTTATTTTCCTATCCTTTTTCATTGTTTACATTAATACAACTCCAGAAGTATCAGACCAATTGAAATGAACAATGGCAGTAATTCATTAACATCAGAGAGCATAGATAAAAGACCACAGGTATCCTACACTAAAAGCAATACACATTTTTACATGCAACTATCTAAACCCACAGAATGTTCCTCCTTGTTTTGATATCCAGTTTTCTAGTCAGACATGACCCTGTTGCTCGAATTGCCCAAAACCCGATTGAAAATGGTGGGGGAAAGGTTGCTATAATGCTTAATCGATAGCGAGCGTGAAACATGTCAATCCCTTTAAGTACAGCTCCACAAATTCTCCAAGTCAGTTTTTGCTTTCCATCAAACCCGAATCATCTGCTGACGTGTATCAAACAAAATGCATATGTAAGTTTTTGAGATATTCGTTAACCAAATCAGAATGTTAAAGCAAAAGTAAGGCTTGAATGACAACAATGCTGGTTGAAAGAATCCCAGACGAAAACTGTTTTAGGAAACTAAGGGTATAATAAGATCATTAGCCAAGGAGTTTGTTAGCAGGAGACATGGGTTATACAAGGAGATGAAAGCAAGTAATTATGTAGCTGTTCGTTCAGGGATGAGCATACTAAAAAAAGTACTCAAATATATCGCATAGTTCAATAGTTCAATAGTAATTGACATGTATTTCTTCCCTTAAGGTCGGAGATTCACGTCTCCATACTCCACAACTGCGTATCCAAAACAAAAAAGTCTTCGGGTTCCTTGAATTACTTCTCAACATTTTACTATATTTGCCTCAGGTATTCAATTAAATTTCCGAACTCTCAAGATAATACCACTTCGATTGAATCAGAATCCTTAACCTCTAATATTCCCATATATGGTATTTGTAATTGTAGCAAGGAAATTATTCGCTAATAAAGAACCTAATTTGTTTCTAAGATTGCCCCAATAAGTAAAGGTATTGTGGATTCTAGTAATTGTCACATCCCTCGGTATAATATTGATAAACGGATCAAACTTATTGACTCATAAACCCAATGGAATTAAGAAACAAAAAATAGATACTCATGCAATTTCAACAGTATAAATAAATAATAATACAGTTTACCATCTTTGGAAGATTTCTTCCTTTCAGTGTCTTCATTGCGGCTTCAGCAAATGATTGTGCTGCTTCTGCATCAGCCTCAGCCGCCTCCGCTTCCCTTGCTGCCTCTTCAGCTTCTGCTATAGCTGCTTCTGCTTCTGCAACTGCATGAGCAGCAGCTGCCGCTGCCTCTTGGGAAGTCATGGTTCTCATCTTGGCCAATTCAAGATCGATTTGAGCTTTAGCAAGAATACACATTTCGTCCTTGTCAGTTCTTAAAGAAGCTCTTTGATGGTCGTCCAAGAATAACATAGAGCTCCTTCTCTCTGACGAAGGCATCACTGGAGGAAGCCTATATTTTCGTTTAACCTGGACAAAACGAAACTAAATTTAACGCTCAAAACGTTGGGGAGAGGTGATATATTTTAGTCTATCAATAGTACAAGATAAGAAAGAATCGACTCCTTAAGGCTCAGCCCATCAAAAGTAGTCAAGCAGGTAATTGAGATTAACATTTGTGCTAAGCTAATACCTAGGAGGATCCTGAAGAATGGGCTGGGAGGGAAGTGATGGCAGCAAACTTGACATAGATAACGTCATATAACCAAGGAAAAAGAGGAAAGAAAGGAAACCCGGCAATCCAATCATCTTCCCAGAATTAAATATGATTGTCTTTCTCCAGAGAATAATAGTGAATTTCTCAGCAAATTATTTCACAATATTATTATATTTCACTTGTCTCAAAAGTTGAAATATATCATCACAGATATCGCTAATATAGGAGTATAATGCAGCAACCAAACCATTCCACTAGGAACAATACACTATGATTATTATTTTAAGTAAACAACAATAGAAAAGAATAAATAGCTCGAGGGAATCAAACTTAAAAGAGTTTTCTCTTTTCTTTTCTTTTCTTTTCTTTTTCTTTTCTTTTTCTTTTTTTTTCTTTTTTTTTTCTTTTTTTTGTTCTTTCAAGAAATCAACAATGAAAATCAGATTTGCTTACCTTGACCAGTTTACCACTAGCTGTTAAGAACTTCAATTTTGATGATAACAACCTCTTGAAGTCTGGTGGTGCCCAGTATTGATCCTATTGATGGAAGGAAAAAAAAAAGAACTCAACAATAGCAAAGACAAATACAGTTCAATTTCAGGAAGAATAATTATGAAAATATGATTTCACATCCAAAAGGGGAAGCCCCTGCACAAAGTAAGGAGTTGCAACTAACTTTTCGAATGGACATAAAAAAAGTGTAATTAGAAAAAGAGAAGGGTGAAGATCTTGAAAAGAAGGATATAAAAATTATAACATCAAAAGCCACAGGTGATTCGAAACATAACTACAAATTGTACCGAAGTTTCTGACAAATGTTGAATGTCACTTGAATCAGTCGATTATTGAGAACTAACTACTCATTGATGAGCACTTGAATCAGTCACCAAGGATTCAGAATAATCAATAAAACTCTCCTATCAATCCAAAAATTAATAGTTACCAATCAATAGAAGCCGTTTTTGCCCCTTGTTTTCAGAAGATGAGCACTAGCATCATGAATATAAATCGATAAAGCTTATACCGATTTATTTAATAAAGAAACGAAGTCTAAATATGTAAGAGATCGAAATCAATTGATTTCACCAACAACCATCTCCTTTCATTTTCTCCTTGCATTGATGAGAAAATGAAGGAAGAGATTCAACTTAAGTTAAATGTCTTAATTTGGTGAAAGGAAGACTACCTCTATATATGAGGTAATCTTTGTCTTATTAGAGCCACCAGGTTCCCTCAAGGTAGTAATTGCCTCAATTATGAGATTGTCTAACCTGTAAAATAAATTTTAAAAAAAAAAACAAATTAAACCTCTGTTGGCTACCAAATGTATATCACAACAATACATGTTTCAGATGCTTAAATATATATATTCCACCTTTATCAAAATGAATGGTTGCATTTCCTACCAGGTAATCATTGGTTTTCTTGTCTATGTTCTAGGTTTTGGCTACTTTGAACTAAAATGTTATGGAATTTGACCTTTTTTCCCACCTATGACAATCATATCTTGCATCTCTTTCTGTTCTTTCTGCTTCCGTTTCTTCTTCTTCATCATCATCTTCTTCTTCTTCCTCCTCTTCTTCTTTTCTGTTCAAAAGTGGGCATAAGATACATTTATTCAGAATACAAAAGAAATAAACGCGCCAGGAAAATTAGATTGCTTCTTGCAGCTAGCAGCCATAGATCATTTGTTTTTAAAAAAAAATCCATTTCACACTTAAAAAAAACATGACAGAGTCCGGGGAGAGTTTCGTGATAATGATTCAAAACTAGAGCCAATTTGAAAAACCCATATTATTCTAGAGGTAAAAACGTGATGAAGTCCCTAAAGCTTAGATAACCCAGTAATTTGAAAATGATAAAAATGTGATTAGAAAATCTAGTTGAACGGCTAAAAAACATGCTCAACGTTTTTTCCTGGAAAACAAGGGAGAAGATAAATCTCTCGAATTTTGTTATTTTACCATTTAAAAGAAACAAGCCATTGCCAAATAAAGTGTAAAAGCAATAACATTGATCAACCTTTTTGAGTGTAGCTTAACTTAAACAATCTACAATTTTCTGTTTAGAAATTTTGGTCTCTCATGATATGTTCCACCGGCCTTTCATTGTGAAATGAGAGGAATAGGAGGCAGTTTCCCAATGTTGAAAGTGAAACTTGTAGTTCTACATTTATTGACATTCATCCCTTCAAATTGAGCTCTCCCTAATTACTATCTTGCTACAGTTCATGCCAATTTGAAATCCATTTTGCAACCCTTGGCCTTGAGGCTATTGATTGGGTGGTATTTTATCCCATTCCTCTAGTGTTACATCTCTGTAAATATAATTTTCATTTTCTATCAAAATATTTCTAGATTTCTTCTTCAAATCAGCTAATAATTTAACCCCAATTCATATGTAAGCTTCTAAGTCCCAACTACAACAGATTTCAAGCCTCACTTAACTTGTAACATACTGACAGTGCACGATTAGTTCTGATCCTTCTACAGAAGATTGAAAAGGATCAGGATTTATGATTGTGATGTTTAAGCACATGATACTTAACACTCATCACAATATATGCTAAAGGAGCTTTATCTCAGAACCTAATGTATATAATTAGAATTTCGGTTACCAATCTGACTGCTAGAAATCTCTAAATCAGGATAGACCCAGCTTGAACCAATGGTCTGCCGGATAGGGCTGAGTCCATGACAGATCCATCACTTAAGATTGGATCATTCAACAAAATGTTCAATAACCAAATCCCATGCTCTACGACTTTACCAAAATCAGGACTCTAAAGTAATATCTACTATCCTTTGCATAGCTGAATTGATTATTGCATTGTCCTAAAGATCAAATGTTTGAATCCCACAATGACAATGTTGAAGAACTCAAAAAAGCAACGGAAAACAAAAAAAATTCAAGAAAGATCAAATACGAAAAATACAAAGAATCTGTTCACAGAAACGACAACAAAGGAAAAAAAAAAAAAGAAAGAAAGAAGAGTGATGAAAGATTTGACCAACCTTACATTAGATCGCTTTGGACCAGCTATCAGCTTGATATCCGAGGAAAGAGAAACAGATTTAGCTTCTGGCAATTCGTCTTCACTTTGGACAGCAACACTTCGAGCCAAAATGTTCCCATCTTTTTTAGGAGCATGTAATCTCTTAAGAGCCAACCTGGCCTTCTCTCGGGATCCCCAACCATTAGCCATCACGCTCATATTCCTCCACTTGTCCTTTATAAAATATTAACGACATGAATCAATCTATCTTTCAAGATAAATTGCTTGGCAAACAATTCCTCTTCCAACGAATATGAAGAACTACCAAAAGTTCACATAAAAGAGTTGTGAAATAGTGAGCTAAAGACTACTAAAACATCATTATTTACCTTGAGATCAACATTTGAACGAAGATACAGTACACTGCTGAATTCAGGATCCTTAAGTATCGTTCGCCACTTTCCTGCTCCATGCTTAACAACTCCAGCCTTCAGGGCTGCTTCTTCTTCGTTAGTCCATTTCTGCTTCGGAGCACCCATCAAAAGTTGCAGAAAGAAGGATCACCCCCAAGGCCAGCGAGTTTCTTTCACATCAGAAAGGAACAGATTTATTTTCATACTCAAAGACAAACAGGGAGAAAGCTAAACTAAGTACTTCACATCAAAGTTGAATATAACACGAACTGAAACAAGAAACCATCCAAAATCTGACAAAAGTCTCAATTATAAACACAAAAAACTAAAAGATCGTTAGGAGTTGAAATCCCCGCCAGAGTAGAAAACTAAAAAGAAAAAACAATGGAAAAAGAACTAGTTTAAGCCATTGAATGGTCAAATAACCTAATTCATAGCGAACAAAGACCACCACTTCCTTCGCAGCCCGGATAATCCAATCCGCCGGAACCCAAACTCTCCAATTCAATCTATTAGATAATTCCCAATGTCAAGTTCTAATTTCCGTCTTCAATCATTACAATATCCAAATCAAAAAGGATAAAATCGAATTCGAACAAGTAAGTAAGGGCAAACCCTATATTCTTCAAAGCAAAGTCATTCGATCGGGTGAGCGGGTAATGTTAAATTTACCGAACCCTATTGTTTCCACTTCAACATGCTTGTAACGGTTACGGAAATTGGAAACGATAAAATTATAACAACAAAATTGAAATTCCAAGGAGAAAGATGAGATACCTCAGTAACGCAAAGGGAACAATAGCATGAGTTAGGTTTTCCAAGCCTCGAACATTCAAAATTCCGTTCAAATTTGGCGCATAGGTAGAAAAAATCCGCCGTCTCTTCCTCTATCGCTCCTCGAGATTCATACAAATTTATATATTTTCCTGAGAGCCTCCTTAATATTCTTCCAGGAAAATCAATGTTATTAGACACGGATTCAGCTGCCGCCCGAAATGGTAATTTTATTCTTAAAACCCTATTCGATTTTTTTTTTTTTTTTTTTAATAATCTTTGTAATTTAACAAATTATTGACAAATTCTAAAAATAAAAAATAAAAAACAGATGAGATCTGATGTGAACTCTGAAAAAAAATTATTTAAATTCTTTATCTATGTAATTAAATAGCTTATTAAAAATTAATAATAATAAGTTTATATTTATTAATTTAAAGATCAAATAAAATTAAACAATTAATTATATATTATTAAAATTTTGTGTCTATTCCAAAGCATTCACAAATCTTAAATTGAAAATTAAATTGTCTTTAATTTTAAATAATATTATTACTATGTTGTTTAAACATAGCATCGATAGAGCTAAGAATCACGTGTATATTAGATATAAATTTAATACTATTAAGACTTTTTACAAATTTCTAAAGTATGAAAAATAAAATAATACAAATTAAAAATTTCAGAGACTATTATAAATTTTTTGAAATGAATTAGATGTACAATATTCTAAAATTTGATAGGTCGAACTTGTAATTTATTAAATTATAAATTCAATTCCTAAAATTTAAATTTTGCATTTATTTAGTATTTTAAAATGTAAATTGTGTTAATAAATTCTTGAATTTACAAACAAAAAAAATTATAATACAATTGGATGAATTAAAAGATTTGCATAAAACCTGATTTTCTTACTAATAAAAATTTGATAAATTACCAAAAATATAATTAATTAGAATATTAATAATTAATAATAATAAAATATATTAAACGTGATTAGTAATAAATATACTAATTAAAATTTAGGAAATCTAAATAATATATTCTTATTTAATAATGTTATATTTTTACTGCCATAAATCACCCGTTTAAAGATTCGTAGATAATAATATTTTTTTTTAAAAAATGAAATATTGCGAAACAAATAAGAATATTAATATATGTGCTTGAAAATCCAACAAAATCTATAAAACAAACCGACCCTTAAGCAATTAAAAAAAAAAAAAAAAAGAACAAATACTATTAATCAAATTTTTTTATTTCCAATTAAGGGTTACTTTTTAGTTTTACAAGCAAAAAAAAAAAAAAAAAAAAAAAAAAAAAAAAAAAAAAAAAAAAAAAAAAAA